ACAGTAAAAAAGTTAGTCAAATCAGTGATCGATATTGGGGGAAAATTTCAGATTTTAGGACCTTAGTAGAGTATTGTAAATTGTTTAAGATTAGTACGATAGTTATGTGGTCAATAGCAATTGGCTATTCTTGTATCATAACTGTGTACTTGCATATTTTTGGGCAACAAGTTGAGAAACATCGGGGGCAATCGTTGATTATGATAACAAAACAATTTTAGCTATTTGCAATGCGTTGACCTGGAAAATATTTATGTTGCTCAATTTAGCAAATATGGAGGCAGTGTTTTCTCGATAGTCTGTGTTGTGTTACGGGAAAATTTACTTTTTTGTGTGTGTGTGTGTTATTCGGAACATATTTATTCGTAAGCTTTCACATTTAACCATTTCCAGTCCTTTCATTTTAGTAAATCAAAAAAAAAATGTATAAAAAACCCCAGTAGCTTTCAAAATAGATTTTTGTTATTACTCGCTTTCACTATGCACCTGCTTGTCGGCACTTTTGTTATTTATTACATGGTTTTTTTTAGGTAAATATAAGTGTTAGTGGTCTTTCTGGAAACATTGGTTTTCATGGTAGTTTGTAGCTGAGTTTATACTCGAAACTACAATTTCCTTTCGTACGATCAGACTTAACACCAACCTTACATAGATAAGCAGGAACTTTTAATTACTTTTCCGCTCTTATTTCCTAAGCTGCGCTACTGAAATTAAGAAAAGTACATTTTCCATACCAGAGCTGTGAATTCTCACCTAAGTTTCCTAATTTTAATGGCCTCGAGTTTATCGTATCCGTCCTTTGTTTTTAATTCTTCCTTGGTAGAAACAGTTGGGAATATTTAAGTAGTTTTCGTTTAGTTTCAAAGAGATCTAAACCGCTTCTTTATTCTACTGTTTAAATATGGTCGATTTGGATAACAATAGCACTTCACACCAGTTGGTTGAAAAAGCAGCTACCTTGTACAGTTTAGTTAATTACAAACTTGAGTACGCTAGAGGTCATGTCGCTTGTTGGCCTGACCTAGAATAAAAGTACTGTGGAACCAAAACGCTGTCTCATCCTTGACGTCCGTAAAAGTTCACTAGAAGCAGATCTCCGTGTACCAGGGAATCGCGACGAGTTTCCGTTCCCGCTGCCAAGTGGCCTCTTATTTCCCCCAGTTGTTATTGTGCCGTCCGCGAACATTCAGTTTCCCAGTTTGGGCGCGAAAACCTATCGTCACAGTTGGTAATGGCTCGCACAGCACATTTTTGTTAATAAAAAATTCTATTTAGGTTGGTCACATAGGTGGACGATCAGGTTGAATTACAATAGTAATAGTAGTACAGTAATACATGGGTAAATTAACGAATAGTACAGAGTAAGCTCAGTCTCAGATGATAATAGTATTTAACCTAAATATTATACCGAATGACTTAGAGATTTGTTTAGCTACGAAACCAATTTGAGGTTTCCATGTTAAGTGCTCATCAATATAAACACCTAAGAATTTTATTTCATTTACTTGTGTCAATGTTTGATTTCCAAAGGATAGGGAAAAAGATTTACCCAGTTTCTTCTGCCTCGATTTAAAAATAATGTAACTTGTTTTCTTAATACCTACCGAAAGCTTATTGCATTTCATCCAAACGTCAAGATTGCACAATTCATCATTGAGAATGGACTCTTAATAATTGGGATCCGAGTGAGAATAATAGATACTGGTGTCATCGGCAAAAAGCAGAGACTTGCATTAGAAAGATCATTTATATATAACATAAATAACACAGAACCTAAAATAGAGCCTTGGGGGACACCACACCTACTAATTCGCTTGGATGAGCAAGTTTGGCTGAATTGAACAAATTACAGACGTACAGAAAAATAGCTTTTGATCCACTGCAGAGCCACACTACGAATACCATAACTTTCCAATTTTGCTAACAAAATTTGGTGGTCAAGAGTATCAAAGGCTCTAGTAAGGTCTAAAAAAACACCTGCGGTGATTTCACGACTGTCGATAGCGGAAGAAATTTTGTTAACAAGGTAATTTATAGTTAAAGCAAGTTAAGTCGTATGAGTTTTACGAAATCCAAACTGGCAGTGTTATAACATATTATACGTTTCAGCAAACTCAATCAGCAACCTCGTTCCCAGGGTCTCTCATCTTCCCGCCCCCTTCCCAGGGGGCGGGAAGATGAGAGACCCTGGGAACGAGGTTGCTCAATCACTCGGTTGTACATAACTTTTTCGAAAAAATTTGAACAAAAGGGTAATAAATAAATTTCTCGATAGTCAACGAACAGACTGAGATCCTCTGCTTTTGTATACAGGGATCACTTTAGCAATTTTCAATTTGTCCGGAAGATAACTTTTTGAAAAGAAGATTAATAATGCTTACTAGAGGAGCATAGATAAGGTGAAAGGAAGTTTCGATAAAATGCATTTGGATGTTGTCATAACCGGGGGCCTTTCCAGATGAGAACTTACTGCAAATATTTTTATAGTTAATTTTGCTTCTTTGAATCTATTGTCATAATATACTCGCTTTGCAGTTCTAATTAAATGGTTCAGTTCGTTTTTGCATATTTTATAACGCAATTTGCAGGAGTCACTGGATGACCTGACCTCTTGCTTGTAGAGCCTGTTCTTTTTATTAATGGCTTATAAAAGACCGGCAGTTAGCCAAGGAAAACTGAATTTATTCAGCTTTTTGCCTCTGGTGATATTTATGGGAAAGCAGTCGTGAAAAAGTCTGGTAAATTCATTTATAAAGTCATTATAAGATTCATGGGGGTCTTCCTCATCAAGAAACGTAGACCAGTTCCTTCGGAGAGAAGGTCATTAAATTTATTTAAGTTGCTTTCGTTAAATAAACGCTTAAAAACTTTCTCCCTCCGGACGGAGGAAAATTTTCATCGTGAAAATATGCAAAAACCGGAAAGTGTTCTGATAGATCATTTAGAATAATACCATTGTAAACATCTTTGGGAAGATGAGTAGGGTGAGTACATTGTCTATAAGTGTTGCTGAGTAAGAAGTCAAGCTTGCTAGATTGGAAATTAGCTCAGAGGTAGTTCCCCTTGACGTGCAAATGCCTCCAGGTCTTTTCGAGACTTGATCGGAATTGGGCAAGTGGTTTCAGACTGGCGAAGGTACACAATAAAATTCTTTGACCCGCAGAACTTGAAGCCATTTTTGTTTGGAAACTTTTCTAGATCTCTCTTGCTAGACTTGGGGCGTGAGATGGTCAAATAATTTAACTCCTTCCATTGAACTTTCAGCTGGCAATCCAATAGCAGTAGCAGGACCTTGTAAGCATCCTTCCTTGCATTAATGACTTTTTTTTTAGCGATCTTTCGTGTAAATTTACATATTACCGCCCATGGTCCAGGAGTTGCATATCTAGTAGGAATGCAGTGAGCGACGTCAATATTTTGACCACAGATATCGACTCCTATGGCACCGAAGAGGCTGGTGCATTTGTGGCAGAGGCTGATTCATTCGTGTCGCTTTTGGGAAGTCCAATGATCTTGATGTTGTATTGATAACTGTGGCGTCGGCAATTTTCTCTGCCAATTTTTCAACTGTCCCGTAATGTACCAAAAATTCGATGGAGTCTTCTCTAAAGTTCCCCACAGAAAAAAATGATGGTACATTAAGTCAAATTATAATAGGTATATAATCGGTATTTCATTTGTGTAAATTATATTTGGGAAACTTCGCTGTCAACTGCCGACGTCCATTACTCAATTCGGTAATGTTTAATGACTGTACGATATATACATAAATTTATGATTAATTTTTTCCAATAGATTGTGTCAGCGTTACAGAATTTTTATGATAAGTGACTCCTTAGTTCGGCAGCTTTACATCTGTTGTTTTCAGACATTAGTACCACAAAAACTAGCGTCGGCGATCCCATTCTCAAAATGAAATTGAGTGAATAAACATCAGTTATCGCCAACAATTGTATAAATTAACGTCAAGCACGTATTTCAGAGGGACGTGATCACGAATCTTTTTCAGAGGCCAAAAATCTTTTTGCCCTTAAACGTAGTGTTAAGATGGGTCTTCCGTGTGATGGTGTGTTTGTCGACATACAATGTTGCCCATTGGATATATTTGCAATTAAAAAACCCCAATTTTTTCTTTTCAGGAATGGTTGCGTGACAGTTACTGATTAACTGCTCATAAATTGATAGAAGTTATATCAAATTACTCCAATCTTGAGGAATTATTTCCCTGTGGCTCAAATACCTCTTGAAAATAATAAGATTAAAATCCATCGCAATCCATTCTATTAGTGTGAGAGAGACTCGTTGGAAGTGCATTTTTCGAGCTAATTTTAGCCTTTAACCCCATAGATTTGATGTGGAGGCTCTAATACCCCAGGGATTAGCCGGGAGCCCGAACTACTCTGGAGTCTTGAATAACTTAGCGACTCTCATAAACTGTGAAAGTTTGAAAGAAATCGGTGAGATGGCATGTGTCACGCCTGCCCGGTCCTGTCGTGGACAGACTCCTAAAACCAAAGGATTCTCTTACTTTTCTCCTACAGGGTCGACGTACTTCCATGCTGTGCTCTTTTATGCTGTGCTCCGATGTAAAGATTAGTCTCTATAGCACCAAAATAACTCATAACATCAGGGGGTAGTTCTATCAAGACTCGAAGAGCTGTCTTCTGTATTGACTGTACACGATACAAGGGGGTCAGTGGTTTGAAAAATATCTCACAGAAACGTATCTAAACAAACGCAGCAAGACTTCATCTCTATGATTTCCTTTTTGAAACATAGCGGAGTAGGGGGGAGGGTGCTGGGACGTGTGGGTTGGGTTAGGAATGAGAATTCCTCACTACACTGAAAGTCATAGTTCAGGTATTATCTTACCGAGTAATGAGCGTGATGTTAAACGCCCTTAGAAATAGTAAAAGGAGGAAAAAAGAAGGACACCTTATCAAGAAAACATGACATGGTAAAACTTTTTTTGGTGCATGTAATCGCTTATTTATATCTCAAGTTTTTATGTCAAAATTAACGTGATTTACGTCAGATGAACGGATGAAAAGCTCGTTTGGTTCCCATAATACGCGTTGATCGTTTGACGCTATAACTGTTGATACTTGTTTTACTATTTTGATACTGGAATTGATATCTGAAGCTAGAATATTGATCACCAGAACTTCATCACCAGAACTTGTTTGATTATAAGACAAATATCAAGTAACATGGGTTGAGGTAAGACGATCAAAGAAATGCACTGATAAGCGTAGAGAAACAAAACAACCTTCTTGCGATCATGGCGTTTAATTATGTTTTTTCTGCGCAAGAAAGCCTAAGTAGTTCGCATGCCGCTCATAACTCATGCCGCCTTAACAATGAACAACAGAGCTATCCGTTTTACTCTGTAACTTGGTTAAAACAAACGTTCACGATATTTTCTAAGATTTCTCTCAAGCTGTCTTTTATTTTAGCATCTTTGAAATTACTACATAATCTAAAACCAAAGAAAGTTTCCCAAATTAGGGGAGTGTATAAAAGTGTGGTAAAAACTAGAATATTTTTATTCCCAAAACAACATTCTGACAATAACCTGACTTGAAAACGATTAAAACACCAAACAAACATACATCATCTCAAACACTACAACGCGTAAGTAACCTATTGAACCAGTTTCAAAATATTGCTGCCGTCATTTTTCCACTCGATACTAATAAAGTTCATGACCTTGATAGCTTTATCCATGTTTCTATTTAGAAATCCATGTATTTTAAGCTCTCAGAAGTAGTACTGAAACTGACCAAAAGAAAAGCTTTCCGTAAGGATACTACATAAACAATTTAAGATTCTGTTAACGAAACCTCTAACAAATTAAAGGCTTTGTGAGAAAACGCTGTAAGACTGAGCTGGCTCGTTTTCGATGCTTCAACAACTGTTTTAACTTTCCTGATTTCACTTCACTCAAGAGCCCTAAGTCAATAATTTTTCGTGCTTATTATATCGGCCGGATATGATAACTTTCGTGCAAAAAAAATTCTCGAATACATAACCAATACCTCCTTCTGAGAGGATCGAAAAGAGAACGCAAAAAGTTAAAATAATACGCTTAACTGAAAATTGCCCTTTCTTTAATTACACGATGTAATAACAGATAAAGTATTTTCTCTGCTCATTCTATTTCTTCATCCACCTAAAAGTCTTTAAGGTCTGTTTCCTTCGAGATATTCTCGCCTTCTTTCCTGTAACAAACGTAAAAAAAAACCAATTGTAAATAACTTAATTAAAATTTCTTAAATAAAGCAAATACAGTTATACGAGACGCAATACGTCAGCAAATGTATGCTTGTATCTGATTGGCAGAGAGGCGCTTTCGAGATTTTACACCTAATTGGGAGAATAAATTGTTACTCTTTGAAAGAAACAAAACAAAAAAAAAGGTATAAAACTAGCCTTGATATTCAAGGTGATAAAGGATTCCCGTTGACAGTCAGCGACTAGTAAGTCATAGCACCTTCACATCTAACTTAACTTTAATTTATAAAACACCTATTCTTACCGAGTCTTACCTCTGCTTTTCAAACTCGAGCCTCACATCATCTCCAATCAGCGTAAACGAAGCCCAATCAGACACTTTGGTATAGCGGTTTTTTCTCATCCACCTCATGGCCCGATGAAGGGATTCACTGGCACTTTCTCCTTCAACAAGATGTTCGTAAAACCTACTCATTAGCTGCTCTGTTGCTAAGTCCGGAATGGCCCACAGCGCAACCAACACCGAGCGAGCACCGGATCCTAAGAAAGCACGGGCAATTCCTATAACTCCCTCAGCTCTTACCTCTCCACTTCCACTGTGACAGCAGCTAAGTACCACTAGTTTAGCTCTGACTTTCACTCGTGAGACATCAGCCATCGTCAACATGTAAGCTTCCTGTGGTGGGATAGCATTTTGACTGTTGGGAATAGGGATGTTGGGGCAGAGGGCAATTTCTCCCCTTTCGGCGTCACCATGGGCAGCAAAATGTATCAGGCTCACTAAACTTATCCGCTCAAGTACCGCCTGCTTCGTCGCTCTCTCTTCTACCAGGGGCGGAACACCCACCAGTCTTCCGACCATCTCCGCTTCCTTTCTTGCACCTGGCAATGGCGGCAGCCAATCAACCCTGGGATTGCCTATTATCAAGGCATCAGTGTTGCTGTGATAGTCCTCTGGACTATCTTGAATGATCTTGAGTGTCGTCAAAGAAGGAATGATACGGATCTTATGAGTCTCTGACAGGTATTCGGCTCCCTCCTTTTCACTCAGGGCTGTAAAGGGAACTTTGTACAAACTGCTGTCAGGAACAATAATGACTTCAGACTCATCAAGCAAATCATAAACGGGGGCAATAAACAGTATGTAACACAAAGATAGACTTGAAATGACTTCCTCGTCCTCCACCACGAGTCGTAATCTTGCTGAGCTCTTTTGTTCGGGGGAGAGAGGTTGAGATTTAATCATATTTAAAGACCGATCTTCGCAATCTTCCATGGGCAAAATACCAAGACTCCGGAAATTATTAGTCAAATATTTACTCAAAGGCAAATCTTCGGGCAACCCAGCCTGAACTAGAGTCTCTTCTACTGATATTCTTTTATAGTGAAGGACTCCACTTGTTTTCAAAATCCATAAATCCAGATGATTTTGACAATAAGAAATGTACAGACAAGTACAGTTAATTTCCTTTCTAAAAATGTTTTCAATGCCAAACCAAGATTGCGGATTAGCAGAGATATGCGTTTTAACAGAGTACTTCTCTGCCATCAAGTCAGATAGGCCTCTGGCTCGACCCAACTCCTCAACATAAAGAGCATCACGAGCATTTCCGGTAACACAAAGCCAACTACTAAGCAGCTTGTAGGGAAATATTCCTGAGTGCTCCAGAAATGATGTTTTAAAGTGATCATTGGCGCCCAAGAAATGTCTCAGCTCCTCATACTTTTCAATGCACAGATGAAGACATGACAGGGCGTCTTTGATTTTAATTTGTAATAAATACAAAATGGCGTAGTCTAGAAGGATTTGGAACTCTTTTCTTCTATCTCCAATATCTCTGGATATAAATAAAGCTTTCTCCAAGCATACTTCCGAAGCCTCATAATCTCCAACAGTTCTACACACAACTCCAAATTTTGCAAGAACTGCTGCTTCCCCTGCCTTATGACCAATTTCGGTTCTGATAGCTAGTGCTTTTTGTAGATAATCTTTGGCCTTGTCGCACTGCCCAAGAGCCGCAAACACATTACTTATGTTTCCATAACATGATGCTTCTTCAGCTCTGTGGCCAGTTTCAGTTCTCATAACGAGAGATTTTTGAAGATACTCGTTAGCCTTATCGTATTGTCCGAGCAACTCAAACACAGTACCTAGGTTTCCATAACATGATGCTTCTCCATTTCTGTCGCCAATTTCAGTTGTTATGACAAGCGCTTTTTGGAGATACTCTTTAGCCTCGTCGTACTGTCCGAGCATCCGCAACACATTACCTAGGTTTATATAACATGATGCTTCTCCATTTCTGTCGCCAATCTCATTTGTGATGAGAAGCGCTTTTTGCGTATACTCTCTAGCCTCGTCGTACTGCCCGAGAAATTCAAACACAGCACCCAGTATTATAAAGCATAATGATTCTCCTTTTCTGTCACCAATTTCGGTTTTGATGTCAAGCGCTTTTTGGAGATACTCTTTAGCCTTTTCGTACTGCCCCAGACACTTAAACACAGAACCTAGGATCGCGTAGGTATATGCCTCTCCTTTTCTGTAGCCAATTTCAGTTAAGATGCCAAGCGCTTTTTGAAGATACTCTTTAGCCTTCTCGTACTGCCCAAGAGACCCAAACACAGTACCTAGGTTTGCATAACATAATGCTTCTCCTCTCCTGTCGCCAATATCAATTCTGATGTCTAGTGCTTTTTGGAGATACTCTTTAGCCTTGTCGCATTGCCCGAGCGACTCAAACACAGCTCCTAGGTTTCCGTACACAGCAGCCTTTCCTTCTCTGTCGCTAATCTCAGTTCTAATGACAAGCGATTTTTGGAGATACTCTTTCGCTTTGTCGTACTGCCCGAGCGACTGAAACACAGCTCCTAGGTTTCCGTAGTCAGCAGCCTTTCCTTCTCTGTCGCCTGTCAGTTCTGTGTCAGTTCTGATGACAAGCGATTTTTGGAAATACTCTTTAGCCTTGTTGTATTGCCCGAGCGACGCAAACACAATACCCAAGCTTCCATAACATGATGCTTCTCCTCCTCTGTCGCCAATTTCAGTGTTGATAACAAGCGCCCTTTGGACATACTCTTTAGCCTTGTTGTATTTCCCGAAAAACTCAAAAACAGTACCCAGTTTTCTAAAACATGATGATTCTCCTTTTCTGTCGCCAATTTCAGTGTTTATGTCAAGCGCTTTTTGGAGATACTCTTTAGCCTTGTCGTATTGTGCCAGAGACCCAAACACATTACTAAAGTTTTCGTAGATAGCTGCTTCTCCTTTTCTGTCGCCAATTTCAGTGTTTATGTCAAGAGCTTTTTGGAGATACTCTTTAGCCTTGTCGTATTGTGCCAGAGACCCAAACACATTACTAAGGTTTTCGTAGATAGCTGCTTCTCCTTTTCTGTCGCCAATTTCAGTTATGATGACAAGCGCCTTTTGGAAATATTCTTTGGCCTTTTCGTATTGCCAGAGTGAGTCAAACATACCACCTAGCTTTACGTAGTCAGCTGCTTCTCCTTTTCTATCACCAATCTCAGTTCTGATGGCAAGGGCTTTCTGGAGATGCTCTTTAGCCTTGTTGTACTGCCCTAAAGACTTAAACACAGTACCTAGGTTTCCATGACATGATGCTTCTCCTTTTCTGTCGCCAATCTCAGTTCTGATGACAAGCGCTTTTTGGAGATAATCTTTAGCCTTATCGCATTGCCCGAGCGACTGAAACACCATACCTAGGTTTTCATAACATGATGCTTCTCCATTTCTGTCGCCAATCTCAGTTCTGATGATAAGCGCTTTTTGGAGATACTCTTCAGCCTTGTCGTACTGCCCTAGAGACTCAAACATAGTACCTAGCCTTCCATAACATGATGCTTCTCCTTTTACGTCACCAATTTCAGTTGTGATGAGAAGTGCTTTTTGGAGATACTCTATAGCCTTGTCGTATTGTCCGAGCGACCAAAACTCATTGCTTAAGTTTCCGTAGTCAGCAGCCTCTCCTTCTCTGTCGCCAATCTCAGTTCTGATACCAAGTGCTTTTTGGAGATACTCTTCAGCCTTGTCGTATTGCCCTAAAGACTCAAACACAGTAATTAGGTGTCCATAACATAATGCTTCTCCTTTTCTATCACCAATCTCAGCTCTGATGACAAGGGCTTTCTGGAGATGCTCTTTAGCCTTCTTGTACTGCCCTAAAGACTTGAACACAGTACTTAGGTTTCCATGACATGATGCTTCTCCTTCTCTGTCACCAATCTCAGTTCTGATGACAAGGGCTTTTTGGAGATACTCTTTAGCCTTGTCGTGTTGTCCGAGAGACCCAAACACATTACCTAGGTTTCTGTAGGTAGCTGCTTCACCTTTCCTGTCGCCAATTTCAGTTTGGATGACAAGCGCTTTTTGGAAATATTCTTTAGCCTTTCCGTATTGCCCGAGTGAGTCAAACACAGTACCCAGGTTTCCGTAGTCAGCAGCCTCTCCTTCTCTGTCGCCAATCTCAGTTCTGATGACAAGCGCTTTATGAAGATATTCTTTAGCCTTTTCGTTTTGCCCGAGCGATTGAAGCAACATCCCTTGGTTTCCATAGCATATTGCTTCTCCTTTTTTATCACCAATCTCAGCTGTGATGATAAGCGCTTTTTGGAGACACTCTTCAGCCTTGTCGTATTGCCCGAGCGATCCAAACACAGAGCCTAGGCTTCCGTAGTCAGCTGCCTCTCCTTTTCTATCACCAATCTCAGTGCTGATGATAAGTGCTTTTTGGAAACACTCTTCAGCCTTGTCGTATTGCCCGAGCGACCCAAACACAGAGCCTAGGCTTCCGTAGTCAGCTGCCTCTCCTTTTCTATCACCAATCTCAGTGCTGATGATAAGTGCTTTTTGGAGATGTTCTTTAGCCTTTCCGTATTGCCCAAGAGATACAAACAAGTTACCTAGGCTTCCGTAGACAGCTGCTTCTCCTTTTCTGTCGCCAATCTCAGTTCTGATGACAAGTGCTTTTTGGAGATACTCTTTAGCCTTGTCGTACTGCCCTAAAGACTCGAACACAGTACTTAGGTGTCCATAACATGATGCTTCTCCGTCTACGTCACCAATTTCAGTTGTGATGAAAAGTGCTTTTTGGAGATATTCTTTAGCCTTTCCGTATTGCCCGAGAGACGAAAACAGGTTACCTAGGTGTCCGTAGTCAAATGCTTCTCCTTCTCTGTCGCCAATCTCAGCTCTGATGACAAGCGCTTTTTGGAGATACTTTTTAGCCTTGTCACATTCCCCGTGAAACCGAACCAACGCTCCTAGGGTACAGTAACAGGATGCTTCTCCTCTCCTGTCCCCAATTTCGTTTTTTATGGCAAGGGCTCTCTCAACATACTCCGTTGCCTTTAGGTTTTCGCCAAGTTTATAAAACATAATTCCCAGTGTTTCGCAGGCACTTGCTTCTCCAATTTTCTCACCGGTTTGTCTCTTTATATTAATTGCTTTTTCGTAAAGTTGTTTGGCCTCTGTAAACCTGTTTTGACTCTCAACAATCTCTGCTAGAGCTATGCTTACATCTCCTTCTTTTACTAAGTCACCAGACTCGCTGTATAAGACAAGCAGTTTTCTGCCGTATCTTTCTGCATTTATGTAGTCAGAGATACGACGATATGCGCTAAAAAGAACGTTACAGATGGCACTGTAAAGTAGAAGCAGTTGTGAATTAAATCGGCCTCTGCTGTCTTGATCGATGTTATTTAGCAAAATCAAACATTCGCTGCATACCTCAATAGCTTTCTGAATGCGATCTGAGTTTAGCAGGAACAGGGAAACCAGAAAGGCGATATTCATAAAAGCTATCATGGCTTCTGCCGTTAGGTTTCCATTGCCATCCTCTCCTGTCATAGGAGAAAAATTTTTATTAGCAACGCCAGTTAACCAAATGATTCGATAATCTGGATTCAGAATGAGTTTCTACAAACAGGAACCCAGATGTGAAGTTACAAAAACGGGCTGGGTCGGTTACACCTGGAAAGTTTTTGTAACGAGCAGAAAGTGTTAGAATTCACCATATTGACTTAAAACAAAAAATAAGTAAAGAGGAGGCGTGGATAAGTACAACTGGAGCACATCAGCAGATCACATTCGGTCATATTAATTAGACCTCATTTTTTTCGAAAACGATTTCACCTAGAAACTTTTTTTTAACGAGCTAAAAGTGTTAGAATTCACAATATTGACCTCAAACAAAAAAAAAGTGAAGAAGAGGCGTGGATAAGTACAACTGGAGCACATCAACGGATCACATTTGGTGAAACTTGTAAAATTTATTTGACCTCCACAGCTTTTTTTTGAGAACGGACTATGGACTGTCACGCTGTGAACGACAACCGTTATCCAGGTGATTTTTGATCTAGCTGTTTCGTTCGTTCATCGTATTAAGTGAAAAAATGACGCGCGCTTGAGTTTGACTAATGATCGCGTGTCGGGGGGGTCGCGCCATCAATTAGGGGGTTTTGAAAGATCGCGGGTTTCTTAAAAGGACATGAAGGATTGATAAACCTATTACTACAACGTTCTGGAAACATTTGAAAATGTTGTTCTAGCGGTTTATCACAAAGTAATGAGCTTACTTATCTGAAGTATATGGCTGAAATGTTTACGTGCGTTCGAGCGGAGTGGATGTGTCTTTCTTTCTTCAGTTTATAACTCATCTGAGACAAACCAAACAAGATGAATGGAAAGGATAGTCAACTTGGAAAGGAAAATCAGCAATTAGGAAACAAAGTTCCTAAACTGAAGAAACATTTGGAAAAGTTAAGTGTGGAAATTGGTAATCATAGGGCGATTCATCGCTAAAGAGCGAGGCCAAATTCAAATCGTCCGGAATCGGTGCTACGAACCTATACAACTACGATCACCTAACACCGTACCACGCTTGCAGAATCTCCTGTTTGAAGCAAAGAAGTCAAAGATGCTAATAATTTCAAGTTTTGCTGGGCAAAGCACTGGTTTGTTAACCTCAGAGAATCGGAAGCATCTCCCATCCGTAAATTTAGCAAAATAGAGGAGCTAAACGCATTTGTACAAGGATGTGACAGCTAAGTATCGGTAAAAGTTTTAGTGTATTATTTGTGGCTTGATCTCCCTCTCTAAATGTAAACTTGCATCAGAAGATGCAAAATGCGTGAATGAAATTCAAAAGTCTTTCGTAAAGAACTTCCATATTTTGACTCGACAGGTAGTTTACCTTTTTATCGTAGAAAATTTAACAACTTATATCAAAGTGAGCTTCCACCAAACAGAAGTCTAGAAAGTTTAACTGATTTTTACGATCTTGACTCATTCAAATCTAACACAAGTCTTGATTCCAGGTTTAATACTAACAATAATTTGTTCAATCATAAAATTTATGGTCGATTCTTCTCTCCGCATAATTTCAAAAATTACAGCAATAGTTTAACGAAGAAGCAATTGGAACCTAGTTCAATTTTTCATAATAATATTTTAATTCTAAACAAAAATATTGAAAAACTTGTAAAACACTATTTAGAGAATATAGATCTCCACTTCGATATTATTGGGATTACTGCAACGAAAATGACCAACACAAATCAAAATTTTGCTTCCAAAATTCCATGTTACTCTTTTGAACACGTGCCCACACGTCTAGCCTCTGGAGGTGTTGGGCTCTTCATTGATGGAAACCTTAAATACACAGTGCTTGAAAAGGAGTCGCATGGAGCCTTTCAGGCATCGTGGATAGCAATTTCTTTTAACAAACAGAACAATGTCATATGCGGCATCCTGGATTGCCAACACAATTCTCCGGATTGTTTTAGTGGATATGTTAGTGATACAACCCAAAAGGTAGCTTCCACGGGAAAATCAATCTATTTAATGAGCGACTTCAACGTATGATTGTTGAAGACAGAGAAATTTCAATACGGCTAGGAGTTCTTATTCGCCTTACAGAGCAGTTATCTCCTTCCAACGATTGGCAAACCAACACGCATGCACGGAATGTCAGCCTCTCCTATTGATGATATTTTTGTCAATAATCCCGACCAAGTTTTAATTAGTGGAAATATCATCACTGACGTTTCTGATCATTTCTCCCAGTTTTGCATTTTGACTTCAGGAATAGAGAAAGTTGCTAACAAAACAACAAAGAAACGCGACTTCTCAGACATCTCAGTTCGGTTTAGTAATGATCTGCCAATAGCCGACTGGGATAATATTATAGTATCAAAAGCAAATGGCAATGACGACCAATTTTAAACTTTTTGTAGGCAATCAATTAAAGTCGTGCGAAAACATGCGCCTTTAAAAATTGCATCAAGAGGTGAAATTAAACAACTCGTAAAACCATGGATAACAAAGGGAATGAGAACTTCAATTAAAATAAAAAATAGGTTTTATAAAATAATTCAAATAGTACGCGCGCTCTGATTGGCCATAAAACCATTTTACATGAGCGTATGTAAACACGGTTTTCGTTCCTCTTTCATTAGTTACGCTTCGCGTCGTGGTTTCCTGCGCTTATCTAGTGTTCTCCCAACCTCCCGCGTGTTTACATCAGGCTATGTAAACACGGAAACCATTTTACATTTCTTCAATATAAAACTGAAAACTGTAGCGAATATAAACCTTACAGAAATATAATCATCATTCTTACGCGTTCAAGCAAAAAGCAATAATACTTTGATTTTTTTAATTAAAACGTAAAGAACATGAAAAAAAAACATGGTAAGGAACAATGAATTATTAAACAACCGTAAAAAATATCATAACACGATAATGACATTAAAAGACCCAAATAACAACAATTAAGTTACTGATACCAAATATTCTAATGTCTAAATACAAAAGATGTAGACATGCCGAGCTAAGGAGTCACTTATTATAGAAATTCTGTAACGCTGACACAATCTAATGGAAAAATGATTCATAAATGTATGTATATATCATACGTTAAACATTAACGTATTGAGTAAAGGACGTCGGTAGGTGACAGTGACGTTTGCCAAACGTAATTTACAGAAATGAAAATAGTAGTAGTAACCCATCAAACCGAAAAAAATTTGGACCTACGACCGTACGAACGACCGTAAAAGGTACTACTTTTAGCATGCACGGCCAACTGTACCATGGGTACTATCTTAGCCATTACGTGCGTGCGTAATTTGGATACTGCGTGCGTAATTTGGATACTTGGAAACACCGGCAGACGACAATAAAGTGCGCATATTCGAGTGTCGAGCGTCAGTGTAGCGTACTGCGGGTACACAGTTAGGCATTGCACGGGGGCTTCACGTGGGCAAGTAGATGTGAAGCTGCGTAAGCAAATAATTTGCAACCCACGTTTTGAGCGGGAAATGAAATTGGTGAGGTTGAAGTTGAACAGTAATTCTCAGTATTTTGCCATTTCTAAGCAACTCGCAAAGCAACAATACCGGCAGAGCTAAAGCTTTGTCAACGGGAGGAAATTGTTATAATTCAAGTTTGTGGAGAGAGAGGGTTTTGAGTGAAAATGAGATGAAAAGAAAGAGACCGAGCGACCAAAAAAACATGAAGTAAAAGACGTAAAGCGAGTCGAGAAACACGCGCAAGAAAGTTAGAGGGGACACCAAAATAGGCAGAATACGGCGAAAAAAATGCGAAAGAGAACAAAAAAGACTTAAGTATAAAGGCGAATATCTTGAGAGGAGCAACGCGAGAAGGAAGTACAAAGACGCTCCTTGGTAGAGGGAGAATTTGCATAATGGCGGTAAGACGTGTGTTATGCTACTCTTCGATATTTTATCTTCTAATGTGTCTTCTCAGCCTTCATTTGAGCGGGAAATCCTTTAACTCTGCTTCTAAAGGTATTGGCTATGACCTTACAACGTTGATTGTGACCAGGGATGTATCGACGCCAAGGATTGAATCCATCTTTTTACATCCTAAGAAGTCACTCGCACTCAAAGTTATTATTATTATTGGCGACTCGCATCTTGCGTTTTGCCCTTGCGGCAAATCTTGTAATTCTATCCAACGGTGTCTCCTTAAATCCAGGTCCTGCTGGACCTTTGCCGCAGGTTATACCCAACAGCCTAAGTGATGAGTCTTTCGCTTGATGGAAGTACGCTGCCGAGTTCGTATAGTGGTTTGTATGACACCTTTGATTCTTCGGTCGAATTAGACCACTGCGAATTGTATCCTCTTTTTGATCTTGGTTTGGATGATAAAGCTTTAAGGATTGGTCACTGGAATGTTAATCGCTTAACTTCAACTAAGTTTGAAAAGATCAAGCTTTTCCTTTCCGGAGAGTCTGGTAGACCTCAAGTTGACATGCTTTTCTTAAACGAAATATTCTTAAAGCCTGATATTCCCGACTCATTATATGCCGTTCCCGGATTTACAATTTATCGCTGTGACAGAATATCGAAATGTGATGGCGGTGTATTGGCCTTTGTCAATCAAGATCTGCGTGTGAAACGTAGAGCTGACTTGGAGAATGCTCACTTAGAGATTATTTGGCTGGCGGTTTTCCCTTTCAAGTCAAAAAGGTCTCTGTCTATTTCAGGAATTTACCGTCCGCCTTTCGTACTCTTCGGCTGACGATACTCGCTTAGAGGCAAACATTGAACAGGCTTATCTCCTAAACAAAGAAACGATCTTACTGGGTGATTTCAACATCGACGCACTCAATCGCTCAAAATTTGAAAAACAACATCTTTGCAAAGGTTTGAAGACTACGAATTTTAATCAGCTCATATATGTACCAACACGACCAATTAGCGGAACCTGTCTGGATCGCATTTTTTCCAATCAGCCCCAAAGGATACAGAGTATCACTTGTCCAGTAATTGGTCTTCTGATCATTAACCTTTGTTTGCAGCGAGAAAGTATAACAATGCACATGAGCGTCGTATCCGTAACGCGTCAAAGGGCAGCACCTTTATTCGATATCGCAACATGAAAAGATTTGATGAGGAACAATTCAAGTTAACTCTTGAGCACACCCCCTGGGATACTGTCTTTGTTTTTGACGAAATCGACGATATGCTGGAATCATGGGAAAATTTATTTAATAACGCGGTTGATCAACATTGTCCGTGGAGAAATAAACGGGTTGCACTTGTCAACCAAACGCCTTGGATGTCTAATGCTATTATTGATCAGCTAAGGCTGAGGGACACCTTGTTGAAAAGATCTAAGCGCTCAAATAATCCTGACGATTGGGCTGAATACAAGAGGGCCAGGAATAAAGCAGTCGGCATGCTAAAGAGTGCTAAACGAAAGTATTATATCAAAACTTAAGAATAATAAAAGCAATGTCAAAGAAATGTGGAAAACAATCAAACCAATTTCTGGATTGAGCAAACAGTCTAAGCGTATAAACAACCTTAAAGTTGGTGGGTGTCTCTTAGAGGACAATGAAAAAATTGCTTCTAAGTTTGATGCTCATTTTACATCTATTGCGGATCAGCTTAGGTAACTACTTCCTCAATTGAATTTTGACATATCTAAACTTCAAAACTTTGTCATCACAAGAAAGGATACTAGCATCACTTTCTCCATTCCTCCTATTACAGAGAGCAAGATCATCGATTGTCTCAAGAACATTAGCTCAAACAAGGCCAGTGGTATTGATAATATCAGTGCGCGAATGCTGAAATTAGCAGCTCCTATTATCGCTCCGTCCATTGCTAAACTAATTAATTATTCCTTCGTCACATCAGTTTTCCTCCGCGATGGAAGACTGCAAAAGTCACTCCGTTGTTTAAAGGTGGGGATCCAGAAAACGTAAACAACTATCGTCCGATATCAGTGTTGCCAGTACTTTCCAAGGTAATCGAGAGGCATGTACACGACTCACTTTATAGTTATTTGTGTACCGATAATTTAATTTATTCTAAGCAGTCTGGCTTTCGCAAGCGTCACAGTACTGAAACTGCTCTTATTGGAATTATCGACGAACTGCTGTTCAACCTTTACAGTGATCGCGTGAGTGGTATGATTTTAATTGATTATTGCAAGGCTTTCGACATGGTTGGTCACTCGATTCTTTTGCAAAAACTTCAAGCATATGGGCTTGACAACAAATCGTTAATCTGGTTTTGATCATATCTGAATGAAAGGCGCCAGTTGGTATCTATGGGTAACATAGAATCCCCTACTGCTTGTGTTCGTCATGGCGTACCTCAGGGCTCAATTCTGGGTCCCTTACTTTTCATCGTCTTTATTAACGATCTTCCGCTACATGTGAGCTCGGCTCAAATTGACCTATACGCAGACGACACGACGTTAACCTCCGCTGCTAACTTTGATTCTGTTGGTGTTCTACAAAGTTCACTAACTACAGCAATTTCTGAGGTCGACCAATGGGAAACAGCTAATAAACTTCCTCTCAATGAGGGCAAGACAAAAGTGCTTACCATTACTGGCAAGCGACTTTCTACCAGAATTGACCATGACCTTGCTGTAGTTGTTAATGGAAAACAACTTGATAATGTTCGTTGTGCAAAGCTTTTGGGACTAGAAATCGACCACGAACTAACATTTATCCCTCATTTGGAGAAATTGAGTAAAAAGCTCTCGCAGCGGATAGACATTTTAAAGAGAATTAAATATTGTCTACCTCTAAAACATCGACTTATTTTCTATAACACCATGATAAGACCGGTAATTGATTATGTAAATGTGGTTTGGACGAGCTGTGATAAACATTGCCTTAACCGTGTTCTAAAGTTGCAGAAGAGAGCTGCTAGAGTTACTCTAGACGCCGATTGTCAAGCCTCCTCCGTCAAACTGTTCAATAAACTAAACTGGATACCATTTTTCGAACAGGCTAAACTAACTAAATGCTGTATTATATACAAGCGTTTACAGGGGCATGTACCAACCTATCTTAAAAGTTTACTTAAGCTTACTAGCGACACTCATTCACGGCAGACTGGGTATACCAACTTCAATATTGCTCACCCTGTTACAACGAAACCAAACGTAAAACTGAAGGAAGAAGAACATTTACTGTGGCTGCCTGTCAAGCCTGGAACAGCTTACCGCTATCTATGCGGAAAATAGCGTCGCTTGATTCTTTTAGGAACTCTCTTTGGAAAAAAATTTTTGAAGGACAGCAGCTTTTAAATCATTTTATTCTGTGATTTAGTTATACTTTTGTACTTTTAATTGATTTTATCTCTTATCTCTTGTATTTTTATTCGTTATATTATCTCATAGTTATGCCATAGTTTTTAACATCCGTATTGTACATAATTTTCGAGGGCCACTGGTTTGTTAGTATTTTTATACTATTTTAGTGCTACCCTCTTTAAAAAAAAGTCTTTACTTACTTACTTACTTATATCCTGAAAACAGACCGAGAAGAGGTCATCAACAAAGAGAAGCGAACTACAAAGGCTCCGAGAAAGAAGAGGAGGTAAGTCGTGTCTTATCTGGGATTTCTCTAACGCTAAGGCCTAGAAAAATTCAAACCTTTTCTAACAATCGTCGCTTGATACTAGCTTCAGTTTAAAATTAAAATCACGTTTCGGTAAAACAACGACTTTGGCCTTCATCGCCTAAAAACCTTCGCACCGATTCATCGCCCGAATAATATTTCAAAGTGTTCGTTTTCTTCAAGGTATTTATTTTCCTGTTATTTGGAGTGTTTTATACAGTCGTAGTGTTAATGGAAAAGAAGTTATCTTACGGATTTTGTTTTGCCCAGAAAGCTTTCAAATGATAGCGAGCAGCGAGCGCAAGTTTCAGCCTCTTTCTCTCTTCAGTCAATTATCGAAGGATTTACTCCATTCATTTTTAAAAAAATCGCGCTTTAGCGAAGAAGTGTTGTTTCAGTCTGAGAACGAAGTAGTAGCTGGTCCCAAAATTGAAATAAAATGAGATTGAGTCAGCGATGTCCACGTCCATGTCTGACGCGGTAATTTGATTTATAACATAGCTAGTAAATTTGTCTAATCAAATTCAATTGCGCGAGCGTGCTTCATATTCCTATTGTGCACGCTCATGACGTCAGCAAACAAATCCCTCGAGAAAAAAATTTTCCTTCGGGTTGAAAATGTTATAAAACAATTGGTTCATACGCCAGCAGTGCGTTCATCGAGATACGAAGCACTTGGGAAGTTTGGAGAGCGCTCAAGAAGCTAGAGTTGCTCTCGGCTACGCCTCGAGTGTATCTACCATTGTAAAGGTGTCTGCCATGAAAGATATTTCTTGGTGTGACTGTTGTTCTTCGTTGATCTTTGTAGCCAAAAAAGCTGGTAAAGGCACTGAACTTCAGTTTTTATGTACACAAGGCACCCTCCAAGGTGGAAGAGAAGAAGACCATAGACTGATGTTTACCAGGCAATTGCAGCTACCACAATAATATATTCAAGCAATACTCTGCATATATAAAACTGATTACATTATGTCTTTAACCCTTTACACTCTTACATCAGTATGCATATTCTCCATACTGTTCTCTATACATTTCCTAATGTGCTGCCAAGGAGAATTTGTTTAACAATCAAGAGGTTCTTCAGTTGATTATCATTTCCTTTTTTCTCATGACCTTAATGCTTGATTTAGGGATGATATTAAAAGGAGAAATTAGATGCAAGTCACTCCAGGAATTAAAGTGTTAATAACTGTACACATTTTATATGCTCCTTGCATTTGTGGGCTACAATAGTTAGGATTGTTAGGAAAGCAAACAGATGAAGAGAAGACAGTGAAATGAGGGAAACTGTAAACTTTACCATGTAATAGAAGAAACGACCACAGAATACTTAAGATGGGTAACTTGAATTGTGCTAGCCAATTTCCTCTATCGCCCTTCATGTTTTTGATCAAATAAAATCTAATTAGTTGTAGGGTTTGCTTACAATGTGTCAAATCACCAGTGTGGACTTGATTCTTCGTAGATGTCAGCTGGTAAAAGATAGATACTAAAAATAGATGACCATAAGAAAAAGTACACATCTCCAAAAAAATCACACTGAAGTAGTAGCATGACTGATTTGTGATATTTAGAATGACAGAAGCAGGAAAAGCACACTGAGCTTCATCATGGTTTGTTTACATGGAAAGGTAATAGTTATTGTAGCTTCACAGATGTTTTCATTGCCAACACAACTAACATTCATAACAAAGTTTCATTTAACATGGAATGTTTCAAGGACTTTCTTTCTTTCTCTCCAATACTATTTACCATTTCTGAAGCACTATTAACCCTTTAAACCCTAGCATCAGTATGCATATTCTCCATACTGTTCTCTATACATTTCCTAATGTACTGGCAGGGAGAATTTGTTTAATAATCTACAGGTTCTTCAGTTGTTTATTATTTCCTGTATTCTCATAACCCTAATGTTTGATTCAGGTGTTATATTGAAAGGGGAAATTAGCTGCTAATCGCTATCAAGGATCAGAGGGTTAAAGGCAACAGGTTCTTAAAAAGTTGTAACTTTTGATTCAAGCAAGTATTTGAATATGAGAGTAACATTTGATATTTTCACATGTAACAGGATGATCAAGCTGAAGATGGCCTCAAAAAGGAGTGAACTCCACTGTAACGATTGGTCGACTACTTTGGAAACTTGAGCACTTAGTAAATACACATTAGCTTGCAATTCTGATGATTACAGTTTGCTGAGGTAATTGAAATGTCAGTCCCCAAGCAGGAACCTTCCGTATGACCTGTTCAGTCATAAGCTATGGCATAACTTTAGAAAAACGCACATGTGTCAGTAGAACTATTGTAAGTACAGTACCACCTTGTGACAAAAATTAATGATTTCCTGTAAGTATGAATGTGTGGGAGAAGTTATAGTGGTAACTGACCCTTTTTTTGCTAGGATGCATAGGATTTAATTATTGTAATGTATATCTCTTAGCTTTTAAACTTTCAACTTTGTATTAACTGTAACTGTTTACCATATCTATTTCTATGTACCTCAAGCCCTCAAAAGTTGAAGCAGGTTAGTCAATTACCTGATTTTCTTTGTTTGGAATTGTGTGATTATATAATTTTGCTGTGTAAGTTGCCACATTGTAACATGTAATATTATCATTTGAATTGCATTAAATACTCTTGCTCAAGCTTTCATTAATGCATGGTTTTTCTTACCAATACTAATACCCAAACTAGACATTGATATAAGGAACTGGTCACAAGATATGTGAGTTTTAAAGGGTGGAAAACTGGAAAAGCAGGGATTCCCCATTAATTAGGACTGAAATTAAAGTGGGCTCTGCTATTTTAATTCATGTTTTTATTTTGACTTGCGTGAAAATTAAATTAATTGGCATCCACA